AGCTCCCCGAGCGCCTCCCGCTAGTTGGTGGGCCTGCAGGGAGACGCCTCGTTCTCAGGCAAGGTCCTGGCGCCTGGATTCTTTCAGAACTTGATCTTTTTATTTTTTTTGCTTTTGCTTTTGCGTCTGTGCTTGACGAGGGCGTTTGCTTGGCCCTCCTTTTGAGCGTGCAAACCACAACATCCTATGCTGATTTCCGTGTCACATATTCTTAAATGCTCAGGAAACGCTTCCGGATGTATAACCAAGATTTGAGTAAGTAGCCTACCGCCGTTGCTGGGTGGCCTGCGAAGTTGCTCTGACAGCTGTGGGCTATACAGTTGCTTCCTGTGCGTTGCCTTCTCTTCATTGCCTGCTTCTGCAGGCCATGCAACAAGCTTCGGAGGGGCTCTTCCTCCTGGCCTTTGAGGATAGAGACCTAGGTGGTCCCTAGACACTGGTGCTTGCCTCCCTTTGCAACGTTACTTTGGACGGTCAGTTTCACTTTCAGTTCCTTTTTGTTGTTATTTTTGTTACCATTTTCTTTGCTCTCGGGCTTTCCAAGGCTTATTATCCGCTAAACTAAGATTTTCTTTGGATTAGAAAGGTTTGGAGGATTTTATGGGTGGAAAACTTACAAAAATCTTGTCCTTTCTTGTTGAGAATATTTTATTGCTTTGTACTGTGCAGCTGTTTCTTTCTGGAGGCATCTGTCTGCTCAGTTCTTTGTTTTTCTGTTCTCTGGCGGGGTGTCAAGAGTCCTAAGGCAGAAACATTGTAGATGGATTCCTCCCCCATTGTCTTTTCTCCTTCAGAACCCCGAGCCTGGATTTTTTCCCCCTTCCTCCTGAGGCTTAGTTGATTTGGAGTTGTCATGGCAACATTTTAGCAACTGTGTTTCTCTACAGGAAGCCTTGATGAATAAAATAGAGGAGCCTTGAATATGATGCACTTGGGCTTTAGAGTTTGTAACAGATGCTGTAAATCTGAACTCCCCCAAAACAAGATCCCTGACAGTAGAATCATACCCAAGAGCCAAATCTAGGTTTTGTGGTTAGTGATGGTTTTCCAGTGGCAAAAAGAGGGTTCCAGTTTTTCCCTTTTGAGATTGAGGACTGGAATTTCTTTTTTGTTGTTATTGTTTTGTTTTATTTTGAGACAGGATCTCTCTGTATATACCCCTGGCTGTCTTAGAACTCAGTATATAGACCAGGCTGGCCTGGAATTCAGAGATCCACCTGTCTCTGCCTTCCGAGTGCTGGGACTAAAGGACCAAAATGCCTGGTGAGGACTAAAATTTCTTTCTTTGGTTTTTCAAGACAAGGTTTCTCTGTGTAGTCCTGGCTGTCCTGGAACTCACTCTGTAGACCAGGCTGGCCTTTAACTCAGAGATCTGCCTGCCTCTTGCCCCTGTCTCTGCCACCACCGCCCTGCTTAGAATTTCTTATTGTACAGTTTGTGTCTAAGAAGGGCACCATGGTGGGTGTTATTTGGTAGTGGTGGCCTAAACATGACCCTAACTATTCCTATGAAACTATAGTAGCTTTAGTAATACTCTATAATTGCTTCAATAATGCACCTTGAAACATACTATTTCTCGGCCTTCTAGTATAATTATCTCCTACCCCTCGGAGGTGGAATGAATATGGAGGAGCCGCCAGGCGGTGGCAGTGCTAGCCTTTAATCCCAACACTCAGGGAGGCAGAGGCAGGCAGGATCTCTGTTGGAGGCCAGCCTGGTCTACAAGTGAGTTCCAGGACATCCAGAGCTACACAGAGACACCCAGTTGAAACTAAAACCAACCAACCAACCAATAGATAAATAAATAAGGAGTAAAGAACATTATTTAAAAAGTTGCTTTTTAAAAATGTTATAGCCGGGTGTTGGTGGCTCACTCCTTTAATCGCAGCACTCAGGGAGGCAGAGGCAGGTGAATCTCTATGAGTTTGAGACCAGCCTGGTCTACAGGGCGAGTCAGAAATTTAACATTAGTTATGACAATTCGGCCTTATCTTATGCTTGTTTTTATTTTCTTTTTATTTATCCTATGTATCTTTTTACATCAAGTATTTTGATCCCATTCATTTCCCTGCCCCCTTCAAATCCATTTTGCACCCCTCCCCAAATAATATAAAATTTCAGAGAAAAAAGGGGGGAGGAATAATTTAAAATCTCATCAAGGAAGCTGAGGTGTGACATAGTGAGTCACACAGCATACCCCCTTTTTTTGTCCATATCTCTTTACTTGCAAGTGTTCATTGCAAAGAATCATTGGTCTGGTTTGAGGCCTCTGCTTTCTGCTACACTATTAATGCTGGGCCCTCACTGGAACTCCTCTTGGTTGTCCTGTTGCCCTGTGTTGTGGGTATCCTGAAGCTTTGGGTCTGAGGGTCAGGTCTTCATATGCTCCAGCAGATCATGGGTGGAGTGGGGCTATGCCGTTTCTTTCTAGCTCTTATAACTTATTAACCTGTTTCTCTTCATCTACGTTTTGCCTTGGGGCTTTTTACCTTTCTTTCATTCTATATATCTTACTTTCCTGTTTCCTCTGTCTGTCTGGCAGTGCCTGACTTCTGGCCCTGGGCTGTCCCCCTCTTACTCCCTTGTTCTCTTTTCTCCAAGCCTAGATCCTCTTACTTATTTTATCTGCCTGAAGCCCTGCCTATCCTTCTATTGTCTAGCTATTGGCTGTTCAGCTTTTTATTATACCAATCAGGTGTCTTAGGAAGGCAAGATGAAACAGCAACGCATCTTTACATGGTTTAACAAATGCAGCACATTCTTACAGAATTAGACAAGTGCAACATAAGCAAATGGAACACATCTTTGCCTAGTTACAATAATATTCCACATCACGTGCCCTGTAGTCCATGTTGGCCTTGAACTCAGAGAATTCCTGCCTGCCTTTATCTCCCCAGTGCTGGGATTAAAGGCGTGCACTACTACTGCCCAGTTTTCTGAGCCATCTTAATAGCCTGATTTTTCTTTTTTGTTTGAGGACAGCCTTGGTGTGTCAGTCCTTGCCTTTCCACCTTGTTGGAGACAGTCTTCATTGCTGCATTTGCCACCCAGCTTCCAGTATCTCTGCTTCTCATCTGTCCATCGAGGTGTACTGTGACTTACAGATGCCCTCACTACAGCATCCCTTTCTTGTGTAGGTTTTAGAACTCAGGCATCAGGCTTCTATTCCAAGAGCTTTTGCCCCTGAGTCATCTCCCCAGTTGATGGTGGGTTTTGTTTGTTGCTTGGTTTTGTGACAAGTTCTTGTAACCCAACTTGGTCTAAAACTTGCTTTGCAACCCAGGATGGCCTCAAATTCCTAATTCTTTTGCCTCTGCCTCCACAGTATTGGGATTACAGGCATGGGCAAGCACACCTGGTTCTTTTTCTCTCCAAGGTCTCATTCTATATTGAAAACTAGCCTCAAACCTGCACCAATCCTCCTGTCTCATTCCCTTGAGCATTAGGATTCCAGAAGTGAGCCACCATATCTCATCAAGAGTTGCTTTTCAGTCACTGTGGGTCAGCCCTTGCTGTTAGAATTGGGCTTTGCAGATGATTGGTTTATTTTCTTGGCTTTGTCTTCTTGGAGCCTATGTTCCAGAACTTGGAACGCTGTTCAGTTGCCTAGCCTCACCGTAAACTCTATAATTTCCACCAGGATTTAGTACTCAGGCCTTTGAATCAGGAGATACGAAGACCTTCAAAAAAAGACCAGTTCCTCGGATGAGCCCCCTCACAGAGAGATGAAGGGGTAAGTGAAGACGTAGTGTCTGGGATGAGAGAGGGAATGGCTTTGGAGAATGCAAAATGGCTAAGAGTATTAGATTCAGGCAGAACTGGATTTGGGTCCCCCAGCTCCATCATTTACAGCTATGTGATTTGGTTTCCTTATCCATAAAATAGCCCTATTGATTTAATGTGTCATTATTAGTATCAGGATAGTATGCCAGGTGTGGTGATGCATGCTTTCTTTAATCTCAGGGTTTAGGGGACCAAAGCAGGCTGATCTCTGAGTTTGAGGCCAGTCTGATCTACAGAATAAGTTCCAGGATAGCCAAGATGACACAGACAAACCCTGTCGTGAAAAACCAAAAAGGAAAAAAAAAAGTGCTTATAGCCTAATGTCTATGTACATGGTAAACACTTAGTTTACTAGTCTTTGTTTTGTTTACTTATTTATTTGTTTATTTGTTTGTTTGTTTATTTATGAGACAGAATATATATCTATATAGCCCTGTAGTTCCTATATAGGCCAGGTGGCCTCAAAAATCATAGAGATCCACCTGCCTCTGTAGTGTCGAGATTAAAGGCGTGCGCCACCATGACTGGCAATAATTATCTGTCGTAAAACACATTATCTTACATAACCTAATGTCTGTCGTGAGTGCCAGTGAGTTTGGGAACCATGTTACTAAGCCAGTGAGCTTCTCACATCTTCCTTTTGTGTTGTTTTTACCACAAACAGGCAGCAGAAAACAGCTGAAACCGAAGAGGGGACAGTGCAGATTCAGGAAGGTGAATGCTAAAATCGACCAAGAGCCCATCATAGCTCCCTCCTCCTTCAGCTGACTGGCCCATCTTCTAGGATTCTGGGCCCATCTTCTGTGTACCAGTGTCTTAAATGGCATGCAAGTAGAACAGGGAGAAAGGCAGTTAAGCCAGAAATTTCTTTGCCTCTTCTAATTTAGGTGCAGTAGCTACTGGAGAGGACCCAACTAGTGTAGCTATCGCCAGCATCCAGTCAGCTGCTACTTTCCCTGATCCCAACGTCAAGTACGTCTTCCGAACTGAGAATGGGGGCCAGGTAAGGGAGGGGGCCAGGTGGCTGCAGATGTTACCTGGGATTGGGATCAAGGGAGGTGTCTGAACATATTTTGGGGAGCTGTGGCTTGGACAATGAGATGAATCTGTGTACTATTGGGATGAAATGTTAATAGGCTAAGAGTAGAGATTGGTGTGGGGCTGGGTATGTTAAAGACTCAAAATGAGGAAAGAAGGGACCCATAGCTGACTCTGTTTTTTGAGAGACTCCTGGGACTCAATCCAAGAGGAACTTTCTGAGAGGGCCTAGGATTCTGGGCACTTACTCTTGTCTTCTCTTCCCACCGCTCCCCCTCTTCATTGTTTCTAGGTGATGTACAGGGTGATCCAGGTGTCTGAGGGGCAGCTGGATGGCCAGACAGAGGGCACTGGCCCCATCAGTGGCTCCCCTGCCACTCAGTCTATGACCCAGGTACAGGGGTGTGAGAGGACTAGAGAGCTTTTAACAATAAGAGAAATTAGGGGGCCAATAGGAAGGAGGGGTGGGGTTGGGAACAGTGGGGTGCATCTTGGGTAGCTTTAACTCAAAGCACTAGGGTCAGATGTATTCAACCTTTTGTCACTGAGACATGACCCTGCCATCTACAGAGATTATGCCCATGAACCATGCAGTTGGGGCTGGAGAGATTGCTTAGCAGTTACGAGCACTTTTTGCTCTTACAGAGGACCTGAGTTCAGGTCCTAATATCTAGATGGTGGATCACAGCCATCCCGTTTCAGGATATCAAATATCCTCCTCAGGTCTCCTCAGGCAGTAGGCACACACACACAAACATACATGCAGGCAAAATACTCATGTATAAAAATAAATCTAAAAAACCCCACATAATTGGATTTAAAAAAACAAAAACAACTCATTTTAAATAAGTGAGTTTAATTTTGTGTTGGGTTGCATTCATTCATCTTTGGCCACATGGCTCTCGATGTTTCTCCTTCTGGTAAGGGATAGAAACTTCAGGGTGATAGGGTGGGACTATGTCCCTGACTGATTGGACTCTGTTCTCATTTCCCTTCTCAGGCAGTGATCCAGGGTGCTTTCACCAGTGATGATGCAGTTGACTCGGAGGGAACAGCTGCTGAAACACATTACACTTACTTTCCCAGCGCTGCGGTGGGAGATGGGGCAGCGGGTACCACATCTGGAAGTACAACTGCTGTTGTTACCACCCAGGGCTCAGAGGCACTACTGGGGCAGGCAACCCCTCCCAGCACTGGTAAGATACTGTACAGGATGGCAGCTAGTAGGGCGGGGCTGGGGGTGGCTCTGGCTCTGGCTCTGGACCTTAGTGCTTGACTTTTAGTTACTATTAAAATCAGGGTTGCCAGGTGGCGTTGGTGAATCCAAGCACACGGGAGGCAGAGGCAGGCTGTTCTTGAGTTGAAGCCAGCCTGATCTACAGAGTGAATTGCAGTTCAGCCAAGGCTTTACAGAAAAACAATATCCAACCCCCCCCCACCCCCCCAAAAAAAAACAAAAATAAAAACAGCATATAGTGGGTCTGGACTGCTCTACCAGCAGATGGGAGCATGCTCTCAGATGGGTCCAAAGGTCTTGATGAGGTTCCTAGTCCAAAGTCCTGACAAAAACCTAACTCTTCACAGGTCAGTTCTTTGTAATGATGTCACCACAAGAAGTATTGCAGGGAGGGAGCCAGCGTTCAATTGCCCCCAGGACCCACCCTTATTCCCCGTGAGTGACCTTATCTCTTCTTAGTCATTTTGAGTGATTTTAATGCCTGCTAATTTTGCATAATTCTTCACCCTAAACAGTCTTTTTTGCTTGTTTGTCTTCCTTGGTCTGGTCACCCTGGACTCTTACTATCAGGAAGTCAGAGGCTCCCAGAACAACTCGAGATGAGAAGCGAAGGGCTCAACATAATGAAGGTAGGGGCATCCAGCTGGGAAGCCAGGAGCAGCCGAAGCAGACTTGGGAACTTGGGTGATATGTGAGGGCAGGAAGGGCTGCTCGTCTTTCACCGAGTCACTTTGTCCTCCATTTGTCCCACAGTGGAGCGCCGTCGCCGGGACAAGATCAACAACTGGATTGTGCAGCTGTCCAAAATCATCCCAGACTGCTCTATGGAGAGCACCAAGTCTGGCCAGGTCATGGAAAGACCCTGGTAGCAGGGAGGGGGCTAGAGTTGTGTCTCCTGGCATTGTTTTCAGAAGTGGTGGGGAGTAGTGCTCATGACAGTCCTTTTTTCTTAATACTCTGAGATACTGTATCACCATTCTGAGGGGAAACAGGCTGAAAGTATGAGTGTGCTCTTGGAAGGTAAGCTAGTGTTTTAAGCCTTTGTCCTCATTTTGTTGGCTTTGCCTTGCAGAGTAAAGGTGGAATCCTATCCAAAGCCTGCGATTATATCCAGGAGCTGCGGCAGAGCAACCACCGGTTGTCTGAAGAATTGCAGGGCTTAGATCAGCTGCAGCTGGACAATGATGTGCTTCGACAACAGGTCAGACAAGCGCCAGGCAGGCCCCCGTGGCAGCCCTGTAGCCACTGACCCAGTTTGAATTCCCTAGAAAACACTTCACGGTGTCCTCAGCACTGGCTGTGTGACTAAGTTTGTGGCTTAGCAGTATCAATTTTTTTTTTCCCTGTCATTTCCCTTACTGTCTCTTCTCTCTGCAGGTGGAAGATCTTAAAAACAAGAACCTGCTACTGCGAGCTCAGTTACGGCACCATGGATTAGAGGTCGTCATCAAGAATGACAGCAACTAACTGTGGGGATCCAGGGGCTTTGGTCCCTAGAACTGCAGATATTCCAGGAGCAACAGGCTAATAACCCCACGCCCTTTGCCCCCACTGCCTACTTCTGGCGTGGGACTGGGGGGAGTTTGGCAAGCGTGTCTTTGAACTGAGGCCCTGTGGTGTGGCAGTCTGCAGTGAGTGGTGTGAGACACGAAGGGGACATTAACTGACACATTGCCTGCTCCCACTGTGCAGTCCCCGGGCCCTTGTGCTCCTTTTGCACATTGCATGTGCTCTATCCATGGACACTGGACACACTAAATCTGGGCTTGCCTTGTGCTTGCTTAGAGTGCCCAGCAGAGGGTCTGCGGACACTCTGTGGGTCTAGCACTCCCACTGGTTCCTCCTTTCCCCGGAGCAGAAGTTAAGATACTCACCTGATTACTCTGGGGAGCAGGCTTGCTCAAGAAGTGGGGAAGGATGCTAGGTGGCTGCTATCCCATAAATAGTAGAGAGGCCAGTGAGCAGTTGGGGCCTCTGCAGAAGTCTGAAGCCAGGGAGAAAGATAGGCAGGGGCTCACTGAGAGCCTTCCCTTCTGGGGATGGTTCTTTTTATTTCTTTTCCTTTTCTTTCTTTTTTTTTTTTTTTTTTTTTTTTTTTTTTTTTTTTTTTTTTAAAGATAAAATTGTTTAGAGCCACAGTTGTCTGTTTTCCTTCTTTTGTGGGGCTGGGGGAAGGGAAGATGTATACTGCCCTTTGACCAGTGAGGGCTGGGTCAACCTTTGGGTGGGGTGCTACTATTCCTATACTCATTACCCAGGGTCCTGGTACCTGTGCCAAACCTGGATGCAATTTCCGGCCTACACTGGGTAGCCTTTAAAGGATTCAACTGTGGGCTGGTGTTGGAGTATCACCAACAGGTGTTACTGGGGTTCTGCCTGTGTGCCAGCCAGGGGCCACACCTTTGCTTCCATTTCCGGTTTCCCTGGTTCAGGGAAGGGGAGATGCTTCGGGTTGCACTCCTGCGACTCAGTCACACAGTTGCTTCTGCTGGGACCATGACTGGAGGTACCTGAGAAGGATGTGGGGGTGAGGTTGTGTATGCTGGTCCCTTGGGTAGAGTTGTTTGTGGAGAGAGGAGCACGGGGGTGTGGCTGCAGTCCTTGTAAACAGCTCCACTGGGTCGGGAAGCTCCCAGGGAGGGTGCACAGGCTACAGGTGTTTTGTGTGGTTCCCCGGCCCTCAGTTCTTTCATGTCCTCTTCCTCAGTGCCTACAGTCTCGTTCTCTGAACTCCGTTCACTCCTAGCCTCAGGCAGGGCCCGGCTCTTCGATGTTCGATCTCGGGAGGAAGCAGAAGCTGGTACCATCCCCGGGGCACTCAACATCCCTGGTATAGGATTTCTTGTGTTGGCAAAGGGACAGTCCATGATGGTCTTAGCTTAAGGGGCCTCGCCTCATTTAGGGCAGGGACAATAGGGGTGGCCTTTTATTTGTTCAAGCCAGTCCTCAGGTTCCCTAGGGAAAAGCTGAATGGAGAATCCTGGCAATGGAACTAGCTTATCCAGTTTGAGGGGCTAACAGGCAGCCAGAGGGGCAGATCAGCGCTATGAAGCTGGACTCCCTAACCCACCTGGTCCTTTACTGCCTCCTGAGGACTCAAAGTGGCCGGCTGCATTGTCGGCCTAACTTCCTGCACTGCTGGCTATTGCTTGTTTTTTTTTTTTTTTTTTTTTTTTTTTTTTTTTTTTTTTGAGTTGGTGTGAGCCACCATACGTTTGGACTATCTGTGCAGATTGGCCAGGACTCCGCTCTTTTAGGCCCATAGTGTGAACCCCAATGTGCCATTGGCTCTCCATTTTGTCCTCTCAGTGTCTGAGTTGGAAGTCGCCTTGACCATGGACCCAGCTGCTTTCCAAGCTTTGTACAGTGCTGAGAAGCCAAAGCTTGAAGACAAGAATCTTATTTTCTTCTGTCAGCTGGGCAAGCGGGGCTTCCAGGCCACACAGCTGGCACAAAGTCTTGGATACACAGGGTATGACAAGGTGTAAGACTTTCTAACTGGGAACTGACTGGGGATTGCCTGCTGGACCTGTTCTTCAAAACCCTTTTTCTCCACAGGGCTCGAAACTATCCCGGGGCCTATAAGGAATGGCTGGAGAAAGAGGGCTAGGTAGAAGGGTTAGTGGTTGTGACCCTTCTCACAGCCACCTTGCTGGGTTGGGCAAGTCCTTGTTGTGCGCATTAAAAAAAAAAAAAAAAAAAAAAAAAAAAAAAAAAAACTCAAATAAAGTGCATTTAATCAAGTATTAGAGGCATTTAATATGTCAGGTGAACAACAACAACAACAACAAAAATGGTTCCAGTATTAACCTAGTTCTCAGTGTTTCCTCAGGATCCTTCGACATTCACCAGTTTCCCACCACCCAACAGGCCTGGCCAAATCCATGAGTCTTACTGAACCTGAAACTCATGGATTTGGCCAGGCCTGTTGGCAGCCTGAGCTTCAGGAATTCACCTGTCTTTGTCCCCCAAAGGCTAGAGTTACAGGCGCATGCCCTCACCTCTGGCTTTTCACATGGATTCTGGGGATTTGAATGCAGGTCCTCAGGACTGCAACAAGCTCTTTCCCCAGTTGTAATGCAAAAATACTTTAGCCAGGTGTGGTAGTATACAATTGTAAGTCCTGCTCTTGGGCAGAAGTAATGGCTGCAGGGTTTCTTTAGGTTCTAACCTGGGCTGAGCACTGAATTGTGGGCCAGCTTGGCTACATGATTTCTATGCAGCCATGGCAACATAGCAAGACCCTGTCCCAAAAGAAAAAAAAAAAAAAGCTACTGGTTGTGGTGACACACACTTAGTGCCAGCACTGGGAAGCAGTAGAAGTTGGATCTATGTGAGTTTGAGGCTGGCTTGATCTGCACGGTGAGTTCTAGGTCAGCCAGGGTTACATAGTGAGACCCTATCTGCAAAACCAATCAGAAGATGAACAAAATTCACATACGGGCTGGTGAGATGGGTCAATAACTAAAGGCTCTTGCCACTAGGCTTCAAGACCCAGTTCAATCCTTCGGACCCATATGGTGGAAGGAAAGACAGACCAACTCTGCACGTAGTCCTCTGACCTCACATGTGTGACCTGTGCCCATACACTAACACATAAAATAAATATAAGGCATTTTTATAAACCACATAAAGTAGTCCTTGGGACTGGAGAAATTGTCCAGCAATTAGGAGCACTGAGCTCTTAAGCAATGAAAAGCTCTTCTTCCAGAATACCTGGGTATGATTCCTAGTAGCCACACAGGAGCTTATAACCGTCTGTCATTCCAGTTCCAGAGGAACTGATGCTCTCTTCTGGCCTCTTCAGTCACTAGGTGCATATGCAGTAGTGCACAGACAAAACACCATACACACAGAATGAAACTAAAATGTAAAGGATTTGCAGGGCAGTGGTGGCGCACATCTTTGACCCCAGCGCTAGACCAGCCTCACCTATGAGTTCCAGGACAGCCGGAGATGCACAGGGAAACCCTGTTTTGAAAAAAAAAAAAAACAAAAAAATCAAACCCCCCCCCAAAAAAAAAAACTTAAAAAAAAAAAGTATTCCTTTAGCTAGAAGAGCAGGCTGGCTCAATGTGAACCCAATTCTCTACTTTTATTGTTAGATCTCCCCCCCCCCAAAGCTCAGGCTTCTTGGATCTCAGCCCAGGACCTCGGTCACCCCAGTCACCAGGCGGATTCGAAAGCTTGATACAAACAGCATGAGGCTTTATTGTTGTTTAACGAGCTAGTTAGCTCGGGGTCTTTCACCCACCCACCATGGTGGATGGCTAGCAAAGACAGCTCAAACCAGCTGCATAGAGAGCTTATAGGGCAGCATAAGGGGAGTGTCTAGGGGATACACACAGGCTCAGGATTGGTGTGCCTCCAGGCTTGGAGGTCTTGCCCTGTGTTGATTGGCCAACTGGTTGTTATGGCCCATAGGCCCTCCCAGGGTGGTTGCTATGCTCTGCGCATCATTGCTGTGCACTTGTCCATAAAGCACACCCAGAGCCGTAAAGCATAGCGCCACCAGCTAACTTCTGATTGGTTCCTTGCCATGAGGCAGGCATCTGACCTCTTAGTGACCAAGGCAAGGTCATGGCAAGCATGTGTTACTGTCATGGCTGCCAAAATGGGGAGCTGGTCCCTTCATTATCAAGTGCTTAAAACAATTTATCAGACATTTCCTGTTTCCTTTGCTTTTTCCCTTCCTTTTCCTCTTCTCTCCCACCCACCTGGATTCTCCAGCCTCAGGCACTGACCCAGCCTACTCTCTCCTGGGCTACTCGACATCGTTGAGTTGAGTTTTCCTTTGCCCATGGCCACTAGGTGCTCCACTCCTGAGCCTCTCCCAGCCCAAGTATGGAGATGAATGGTATTCACCTCAAGGTCTGGTAAATGGCAGGTATCAGTTTTTCCCCAGTCTCTGACTCTGAAATAGATTGGGAAATCTCTTCTGGGTTTAATTTTTCTCCTCATCTTGAGTCTACACACCCCTCACATTACCTCTATTATAGATCATAGTATTTCTTTATGATTACAGTTACTGATAAGCCCGGTGTTGGTGGCACATGCCTTTAGTCCCAGCACTGGGGAGGCAGAGGCAGGTGGATCTCTGTGAGTTCGAGACCAGCATGGTCTACAAGAGCTAGTTCCGGACAGCCTCCAAAGCCACAGAGAAACCCTGCCTCAAACTCCGCCCCTCGCCAAAAAAACAAAACAATTACTGATGTTTTGCCCAAATTCTGAACCCCAAAATCACAGAGACCTGTTCTAATGCAAAAGCAAAGAGTCTTTTTTTTTTCCTCCCCCACTCCCCAGACAGGGTTTCTCTGTGGTTGGAACTTTCTTTGAAGACCAGGCTGGCCTCGAACTCACAGAGATCCATCTGTCCACCTGCTTCTGCCTCCCTAGTGCTGGGATTAAAGGTGTGCACCACTACCACCCAACACAAAGTCTTTTATTTAATGAGTTAACTCAGGCCCCTCATCTGTTCATCACAGCAGGTGGAGTGAGAAGGGCCTGGAGAAACTTCGAGGAGGGGAATTTATTGGGGTATGCAAGGGGAGTGTAATTTTAAAAAGTCTTTTTTTTGTTGTTTTTTTCTTTTGAGACAGGGTTTCCTTGTGTAGTTTTGGATCCTGTCCTGGAACTAGCTCTTGTAAGACCAGGCTGGTCTCAAACTCACAGGGATCTGCCTGCCTCTGCCTCCTGACTGTTGAGATTTAAAGGAGTGACCACCATGCCTGGTATACTATGCCTGGCATGTACTCTTTCTTTACCTCAAACACCTAGAACATCAGTTCTCAATAGGTGTTTGTTGAGCCTTGCTAATCTACTGACCTTCAGAATCTTCTCATTTTAGCCCTTCTGAAATGTGGCTGCCTGTCCCTAGAACTCTCTCTGTAATCCAGAGATCACCTGCCCCTCCCAACTCCCCAGTGCTGGAATTAAAGGCGTGTGCTACCACCGCCTGGCTGTCTAACATTTTATCAGCCAGAGAGTTGATAATTTACCGCAGGCCTTTGTTGCCTAGTGGCTGAAACATG